ATCCATAAAATTTGAATGAGATCAATTGTCGATTAATAAAATTCAATAAATTTGAATGGAATGACTGTAATTATCAGTTCATAAATTTGAACCAACATTTGATTATTGATAATTAGTAAAATAAATTATCAAGTTGGTGGGATTACTTACGCATAACTAATAAAAACAGGTTATTGATTGATCAGGCAAGTTTATTAATTGATTGGATTTTTGATCAAACATTGATTGAACAAGCTATTAATGATGATATTGATTATAAATAGTTTGGTCATTTCATGAAAACGATTATTGGTAAAAACTTGAATATTTAATTGAATCGCCCCCAAAGATTATTCTTATGAAATCAAATTGTATTGTATTAATCAATTTATTATCCTGTACGTACAGTATATTCGGATCGTTGTGTTAACCGAATGTGCGTCTAACCCATCTTTATTCTGAATACGCGTTGCAAATTGCATACATCTCTTGCGTTCTGTGCACTATTTTCGATGTTGACAAGAGTCTCGAGATGGTTGTCAAAAGTGAAATAAAAAAGTACTTACGATGAGCAATAGTAGCGTTAATTCATTAATGCACACGAACATGCGCGCACGGGTCGTTAAACACATCATCTGCATTTTATAGAGCACGTGACCCAACGCGATTGAAGAGATTGGTTTTGACAAGTTACTCGGGAATGTTGAAAATGTTCACACGCAATAACACATGATAAAGCTCCTGGTTCTAAATGGTTTCAACTAGCGAGTGTAGGAATGTGTGGTTGGCGCAACGAATAAGGAATACATTCGTGAAAATTATCATTGGTCTCGCACACAGGTAAAGAAAATCACAAATGGAATCGAAAAATTGACACCAATTTATTATGAAACCCAACACAACAGCCTGTCTCCACGGCAAATGGATCTGGATGGCATGACACGATTCACCGATGTACGCACCCGAAAAGGTTAATTGTCATGATACAAAAGCGAATGTTTAGAAGCTGGAATGCCTTGACGAAATTATTGCGATAGTGCAAACCTTATGATGCGCTAAAAAAAAACAAACAAACAAACAAAATTTAAGGAGCGAACAAATAAACGCATATTGCATAAAAATAATCTTTACAAGTGAAGAAACAAGAATTAGAACCTGAATAATAACTGTTTATATTAATGTTTACATTTGATGGAGATCTTTACGTAATAAATGCGCGCGAACGACTATGGTAACCTTAATCTGTATAATAATTTCGACTTTGCATGAGGTGTTTTCGGTTTGTTTTTTGTTTGTTTTTTCTGAACGATGGAGAGGACCTCCCTCCTGATTACAAACCGACAACCGTGTGGTGAAATTGACCTCTTTAAGTGATGAGCGTACAGCAATCGATCAAAAGCCTTGAATTGAAACACCCATCTCATACTGGGTGGCCGTATACGGCATCTTATGCACATGCACCCGAGACAATGAGTGATCAAGGTGGGACGCCATAAATTTGGCGGTGCTGTGTTGTGACTTTAATATCGTACAAAGGTAATCAAAAAATTTAATCATACGATCAAACGAAAAAAATTAAGCATAATAAACACGCAGCATGATACGCATTTAAACAGATTATTCCTATTTGTGATCTGTCGTCCTTTACGGTTTCATGCCGAGGGATCTAACGTACATACAACCGAACTTCTACGGAAAGAACAATTTCAGGTATGCATGCATCTTTGCTCGAAGGTTTCAACGAAGAAAAGATCCTGCCGGTCGACGGTAGTCGGCAGTGAGGGTGATGAGTTCCGTCGAAAGATTTCGCACATAATCCCCAGAGTGAAATTCGTGCGACGCCGAGGAAAGGATTGAGTCTTACGATAAAATGGAATACAAAATTCCGTCCCATAAGCAGCTAGATTTGTATTGTTTGTGTAATTCTTGGGCGTTGGAGTTATACACACAGTGTTGTTGTTGAACTCTCTTAATAGTTCTACTCTTTCGATTCAGGCAAGGATTCCTCTGTGTTATACAGTATGCCATTTCCTGTATATCTTCCGTTTCGGTGGCTCCCCGTGTTCCGCATCCCGCATTCCAACCTCCAGATTTTATCTCTCGATACCCTAACCCTCCAGCTACGCTCTCACTCTTTTCTCCCGTTCTCGCTTCTCGTTTCTATTTCCGCCATCATTACCTTCGCCCCGTCCCTTCACGATTTGGCAGATGCTTGTATCACGCGTCCCTGTGTTCTAAGAAGTGCGTGCGTGTAGAAATTTCATGTGCATTTATTGTGCGCAATTTGGGAAAACCATCGAAAAAATGACGGCAGAGAAAAAGGAAATTCTTTGTAGGGACAACCGCTGGTTTTGATCTAATGATACATCCAATGTTTGCATGTTTGTTTTACGTTTGCCCGGGTGTACTTATTAAAGTGATTGATTGATTGATTCATGATTTTTGATTGCTTCATGTTTTCTTCGCCGTGCACGCAAACAGGATATGTACTGTAGTACACACTGTACATAAATTTTTTCGGAGATTCACGTGGCCTTCATGGTTTGTAAAACATGGGCAAAACTATTTTGGTTTCGGTCAAATGATAGTTGAGCAGTTTTTATCAATCACTTTTCCTATGTCATGTCATTCGTTGATGGATTTTCTATTTAGATTTCGATCTAATTGATTACTTCCCGCCCCCGGACGCAAGTTCTTGACCACAGAAAATTCTCAAAATTCCATCAGCAAGACCTCAAGGGCGACGCAAAAAGGGGCATGTCAATTGTTTGACGATTATCACCGAACCGGGGAATCAACGAGATTCCAAATCGAAGCTTTTTTGAAGGAGGGGATACACCAAAGGTTTGAAGATTAATAGAGTCCAAAGATGGCATCAGAAAGAGATACCGGATTTTAATTAAATCCTGTTACGAGAATTCCTGTTCACACAAAGACAATGAATCCTCAAAGGGTTTCCGTAAAGAGAAGGTGGTAAAAGGGATGAGGAATTCGCTCGCACAAATTCAAAATGAAATTGTTTAAAAAGAGAAACCTCAATAAAGCTCTTAATAGAATCGAGATGGTGATGTTAAACTAATTACCAAATGCGTGCCAATGGATCAGAGTCAGGCAAAAAAACATTCCGGATCATTCTCTGCCCAGAGTTGGCCTCTTGAGTTAGGTACAACGATAGGACCAAAAAAGGTCTTATTGTACGTTTAAACAATCTCATTGTGCCAGAAATGATGGAGCGACTGTATATTTGGTTTGGTTTGGTTTGGTTAGGGGAGTGAGGAATTCGATTTCGGCCCATCGGACTCATTGACTATTATTGTGTGAATAAAATTTGAATTGGTAATTCTGAAATTGGCATGATGTTGATTCAAGTTGAGTGTGTGCGAATGAATGTCGGCGGTCATCGAGAGGAGCAACAACACATCTGGTGGGTGTCAGTTGGTTTCTATCCGTGCAGGAGATTGCATCAACATTTGCACGAGAGATCTTCTTCTTTGCACAAAAAAGAGTTCCTTCATCGTAATATTGGAAGGACAAAAACGATGTCAGGGATTACCCGGATTATTCATCACCCTCCCGCACAATTTCTCATTCGCCAAAACATTTTCACAGATCGCTACTTTTGGGAGCGAACATCTCGCCAAAAATACGTTGCACCGTATTCCTTGCGTAACAACGCTCTCTTGCGCCCTCCGTCCCTGCACACATTCAGTTTGGATTGAATAATTTGGTTATTACGGTATCAGGTCATCGACTCGTTGCTTACGTTGGCCACACTGGATGGAAAAAAATTATATTTTTTAATTAATCCAAATTAACGTCGAATGAACTATACGATGAGACCACGAATGGCAATGTCATAGGAACACCGTGCTCACTTTAGGAAATCCAAGAGAACAACACCTTCTTGTCCACCCTCACTCATCATCATTGTTATTGTTATTAGTCAGTCGTATTTTCTTTTTATTTGTATATATTGACATATTGTCTTTATCGACGGTCCATTCTTAAAAGCGATGCCTATGTTGATAGGAATTCGATGAAACTTTTTTTTTTTTTTATGTGGTGGTACTCGCGAATTCGGTGTATTTTCATGTGCAAATGTTTACAATTGTTTGTGCCTGGCCATTGATCATCCCGAGAACTATTCTTCCCCGAGAAATAAGTAATTAATTATTTACGATCACGCCCTGCATCATATGACCGGAATTACGACTGTGCCTATTCTGTCACCATTCTGTAATATTTTTCGTGTGATATAACGAGAATAAAAGGTATCACGCGTGCAACTCGCCTCCCGTGATCGATAATTTTCCAAATCGAGCGCCATACCTCATCAATGTACCTTCTTTTATTTTACCTAACAACTAGCGCCTAGGCATCTGATAAAAATAAATAAATGAATAAATAAATAAATAAACAATGGAGACCTTTCCGGAATTTTGGCGTGCACAATGAAGATGTTATTCTGTTGGTGAAAGATTTTTTATGTAAACGGTTGAAGGAAGGGCATCCGTCTGTCTGTCGAGTTCCCTTGCCACCGGTTGGTGTCACGTGGACGGACTTCTCGATCAACCGATGAACCAGCTGTTCCCTTCATCTGTTCATGATGACACAAATTGTTCCTCGTTCAACTCAATTAACCAAATTAAAAATTGGCGTGGAAAGGGTGAACCTAGTCTCTCGTCACATAGGCTTATCAAGTAAGCAAGATGCGTCGTATCGGACGCTCTTACTTTAACGGGCGTTCGCTTGTCAACTTTCGCCTCCCTTCATTTACTTATCAAACCAAAATAAGGTGGTTTCGGTGTGACATATGTCACCGCCTGTTGTTAGGTGACGATTCGGTTGTCCGGGTGATTTCTCGGTTGTCATCATGTCGTTAAGAAATGCAGAGCGCGAACCAAAAAAAAAAAGATAAAAAATAAAAAAAATAAAAACGAAAAGAAAAAAAAAAAAAATAAGATAAAAATGAATAATAATAATAATTACAATAATAATAATAATAAATAAAATAATTCGCTCTAGAGATATTGTATTATGCACGCATCAGATGGATTTACGGGTAGATGAGGGAAATATCCTCCTCGGTTGAAAGTTGGAAACAGGGGTCACGTCGAGATCGATGATGGTGACCACTTGCAAAAGTGTAAGCGCATTTGCACATACGTAGTGAACGAGCGTCTCATTGTTATACCCGAAAAGTGGGATTGACTTGACTTGCTAAAGTTAAGTTCTTTCCTTTTCTTCTTCACGCACCGATTGATTTGATCTTCCTTTTCTTCTTCACGCACCGATTGATTTGATCTTCCTTTTATCGACAAAACGCAAGGTTAAAACATTCTCGTTTCACCAACCTGCGACACTTCCCCCAATGGTCAATTAAAATTTAAATGATCCTTTCCAGTTCGACATCTCCTGTGTCACACATGGTTACGCATTATCATAATACTTAAGTTAATATAGACAGCGCCCCGTCCCCCCCCATAAAAGTAAGTGTTAAATTGTAACGCGCAAAAATTATTAACATTGTGTTCGTGTCATCCGCACCCTTATTTACCGCGGGGTTGAACCGCCTGGATAAATGTCAGAGGATGAGATGGAACTAAACTAGGCGCGCACTCCTTACAGATCGTCTCGTCTTTTCTATATTTATAAAAAAATATCCGACACATCATTCGACACTCTCGTTCTCATTCGTACGTGGAAACCCTATGCCTCGAATCCACCGTCACAATCGTCTCTCAAAATCATTTGTGCAAGTAGTTCATCGTCGTCGTGTCGACCCATCCCGCACCCTGGGGGACACCTCCATTGGCGGCGTCACCCTGGACAAATGAGATTACCGGGCAAGATTTTGAGTTAAGACTACACGACAAATCACAAGGACGGATGTTCATTGCGTACTATTATTACCACCATTATCATTTGGTAAGTCCCTAGTGGTCATGGTCATATGTGTTTCGTATTAATGTTTTAATGCTGTGCTTTGTGATCGTCTTTTATTAAGATGCGGGTAAATCCAATTAAACCAGGAAACCAGTAGTATTCTTTATTAACTGTCACAATTATGATGATGGTCGTATGCGCCGTGCGACGGAGGATGAGACCGGGTTGGGTAGCGCGAGTGGAGAAAAGGCAAGGGAGATGAGCATCCATCAATCTTGTGCTATCGGAACTCAACTCAAATCATGGTTTGACGAAAATTAAGGGGTCAAAGGAAAAAAAAAAAAAAAACAAAACAAAACAAAACGAAAGCTGCCACTACCATAGGCCGGCAAGTCTGATGGGACGATCATATTGTGCCGAAACGAAAAGCAACAAATAAAAACTTTTTTTTTTTAAAAGTGGGCCTGAACAAGCGCGGGCTGGGTTACCAGGGTGAATGAGAGAGGCTAATCGGTTAAAGGATGGGGGCATCTCCATTCGGTCTCATTCGCTGAGACACAATAAAGTTTCAGTAGGGTATGTTTCTCGCTGATTTTACGAGTGATTGCGCTTTGCATTGGTTAGGCGGACGGTTCGGTGTTTGGCATGTAAATCGAACGAATTAAAGGAAAAAAATATACTGTGTATACGATGTACGGTACAGTATGTAGGGTATATGCGTATGTGCCGTATATACTGTACCATGCGTATGCACATCGTTGTCGTATATACAGCTAGTTACTGTACATGTAGAGTATATAATGGAGTTGGTCGGAAGTGATTAAACCTACTATACTGTGTTTGTCGCCCAGATTTTTGTTTTTATTTTAAATGACAAACCGAGGGTATCACCATTCCACAAGGTAAAGCTCGTTCGGAACTCTCAATGGATACCATTATCATCGCGGTATGCTCGTGTGACAATTCGACGATTTCATTCAGAATAGAACGTCGATTTTGGAAAATGACCAACCGCGCACAAGACCATTACGGTTCTCATGAGGCGGCGTTCGTCACCCGTCTCACTTGTTCGTACCTTTTTTCTTTTTTTGTTTGTGCGTACGCCATCTCGCACCTGGCTCAGGTGACAAATTTCGCTTTTCGCTAAGGTGATCAGTTACGATAGAACGCTCTACGCCAACCGATTAACCGAAAAAAAGAAAGGCCCAATACTCTTCCCAAGGGGGGGGGGGGGAAGTTCAGTGGTACGCATTGATCCGCGCACAAATTACGATGACACAAGTTTTCTAATCTAATTTAGATTGTTCAATGGGGAAGAGGTGGGCGAACTAGTATTGGAGGGAGCTCTCCGGTTGGAACAAGAAATTACAGGTGTAACTTGACCATGTTGAATTACAAATCGTGACCTTATCGAATAAGATATCGATGACGGCTCTTAATCAAATCGGAAAATGTGGTTCTGCTCCGGCAGAATGAGATGACTGACTGAATTGGATGGTTGGGTGAGTGGATGGATGGATGGGTGAATTCAGGTGTGCTTTTTTGAACGCGTGTGCGTCGGTGGTCGTTTGAACACTCGATGGGAAAATGTGTGAGTGCCCACCAATTTCGTAAACCTGTATGTGCTCACGCACGCATATCTGACGCACACGTACATCTGACGTGCGTGTCAACTTCGGCCATAATGTTCTCCGAATCGACGAGCGATGATTAATCGGCGGAGTCACAATCATGTGTGCGGCCATCCTAAAAACGGATCTAACTTTAGGTAATTTCGAATGAGGATAAACTTGACACTCACTCCCATGTAATGTGCGTGTATTATGTATGTATGGTATGTGTGTGTGTGTGCGTGCGTGCGTGCGTGCGTTTGTGCGTATGATCCAAATTTATGATCTGTCCATCATCGTAGGAAAAGCGTCTCGGAGAATATTGTATAACTGCAGCAGAGCAGATGTCCTCAACGGACATATGGTTAGCATCGTTTTTTGAACTTCACCGAGATCATCGTCCAATAGCAAATCTCTTGGGTGCCAACCAAGCTTTGGTCATTCATAGAGTTTTCCGCGTGTGAGTCGCACCATGCGAAGGCTAGCCACTTTGGGAACGACGCAGGTGACATTATCGCTTTTTATGGATAAGGTTGTTATGGATTTAAGCGCTCGCACAAACTACACACAAAAGACAAATAATAATAATAATAATAATAATAATAATAATGAGGGAGTCCGTGGGCTATGATGTCATTTTGGCGACAGGGAAGTGGTAGTTGAATGACATGCCATTTGCCATTGGTCTTGGTGGTCGTCGATGTTGAGGGGAGAAGCTGACGAGGTGATTGATTTATGTTGTGTTCGCCTGCATTGATGATTCGAGACGTGTGTGAAAATTTGATCATTCGAACATACATAAAAAAAAACTCCATTTATATTTCTACGATAATTCCGGCACATATATTATGACATCATTTTATTGCATCGACCACCACTGTGCGCAAAATCCGTGAAAATTCTATCTTTATCACCAACCGGTCTCTTAATCGAGTAAAACTTGCAATCAGATGGCTCGAATGATTTGTACACCTTGATTGTTCATCGTAATTGTCTACCAAGTTTGATCATTAAAAGCATCGATCACATTTATGAAAACCTTCATTGCAATTTGCATGTGGTAGCGGGTCAAATTGGTTGAACATTGATTTATTTTTGCGGCGAGTGCATCATGCCAAATTTATGATTTTCCTTTCATTTTTTTTTTTTTTTATCTGATCTTTATTCGACCGATGACACACCCACATCACCTCTTTACCATGTATAATTTGTG